AAATCTATACAAACTGGACAAAATGCAGAGTATTGGTCTCAGAATCATCACTGGAGGTATAAGAAGCCCACTAATCAATGTACTCCAGCCTCCATAGCTTGAGCCAGCGAAGGAAAGAAAAGCTGCTTACCATAACAGAAAAATTGAAACACATGAATAACAACACCATGCACATAATAGCAAACAGCTAAAATCCAACTGAAAAGACAAAGCTTCCATCATCTATCAAAACTGTACTACACCAAAAACAGTGACATCCTTTCTAAAGACCTGTCAACATGGGAAATGATCCAGCCATACAGCATAGACCTACCTACAGCTTAACCATACAGTCACAACAACAATCTCAGGCATAGACAGAAAGGCTAAAGAATGTGACCAATTACTGCAAGCAAAGACCCTTGAACATGTCTACAACTCTTATCCAAAACCTGAATGGACACAAGTTTACACCAATGGATCATTGAAGATAGCTGAAAAAAATGGAGGAGCTTGATCGGTCATCATGCTGCAAGATGGAATCACAGTAGAAACATCTTGTGCCTCAGGAAGAGTTTCAACAAACTTCATAGCAAAGTAGCAAGCAATTATTGATGCAACCAAAATGCTTAGGGAAAAAAAATTTAAAAACAGCCAATTTGTTTTCCTTTGTGACTGCATGTCAGTCTTCCAGGCAACTTAGAGGGATCCACCAGACATGGAGAGAGAACTGACCCGCCAGCTAGACAGACTCTCAGAAACAATCATCCTGTTCTCCAGTGGATCCCGGCTCACTGCGGCACACTAGGAAATTAGTTAACAGACAGACTGGCAAAAAAATGGAACAAAGGAGAAACAACACACTCATTCACTGTCATTACCAGAAATCACAACACATCAAGGGAAAATAAAAGGAATTGTGGAAAGAACAAACCAACAGTAAACATCTACAAAACCCCATTAGCAGACTCAACAGAAAGCAACATACAACAATTTTCCCTCTACGAACAGGACACTGCAGGCTCAACTACCACATGCATATAAAAAGATTGTACAGTCCCCACAGTGTGCCTGTCAGACAAGACCACAAACACCTGAGTACATTCTGCAGACCTGCCCACTCTACATACAACTTCAAAAAGAAACCTGGCCTCAAGAGCAAGGTGTGCAGAGCAGGCTATGAGAAACATGAAGGACCTGAAGCTGACATGCAAGTTCATAGAGGCAACCTACCTAAAGGTCTGTCTGATCTGAGCACATGAAACCGAATGCAGCGAAGAAGAAGATTTTAACATTTGCTCAGAAAAAAAAGGCAATCTGGCTTTTCCTGCAGCCACCTTCCACTATGTATTAACCTCTATGAAACTACTGCCCTCTTCACATTTTACAGTAATCATTTGCTCCCCTTGCAAACCCTTTACAAAACTTGGAATCAAGTGAAAGACGTGTAGGGAAGAGTAAAGATTTTGAATCTGAACCAAATGTATCAAATAAACTGTACAGAGTCTATGTTTTCAGTACACCAGTCAAAAAACTCCTATAGGAGAACTCTTCTTGCTTTAGTTTTCCAGACTGTGTATGATTATTTTCACCAAACAACTGTGTCTGATTCCAAGTGAAAGAAGTATATGTTACAACCAAGAATCATGTTCTTAGTGTAGTATTTTTCAAACTTTTCTGTTTGATATTTAACCTTGTTTGTTAACATCTTTATGATGATTACAGAGATACAGACCCAGGCATTCAGTCTGCTTCTAACTCAGATATTTCCTTGTACTCTGAGAGTATGTACACTCCAGATTAAGTATCACTGTATAACATATTCAAGAAATACAGATTTAAAGGTGAGATAATTTCAGGTGTTTTTTTCCGAATGCCTGTCTCTATTTTGTGTGTGCAGAATGACTGATCACAGTTGAAGAAAACTATAGATCTAGAGACTCATTAATACTCATCAAGGACTACTCATTTGTCAAGAACTACACACATTATCATTTGTCAAGAACTACACACAATATCATTTGTCAAGAACTACACACAATATTATTTGTCAAGAACTACACACAATATCATTTGTCAAGAACTACACACAATATCATTTGTCAAGAACTACACACAATATTATTTGTCATAAACTATACACATTATCATTTGTCAAGAACTACACACAATATCATTTGTCAAGAACTACACACAATATCACTTGTCAAGAATTACACACATTATTATTTGTCATAAACTATACACATTTTCACTTGTCAAGAACTACACACATTATTATTTGTCATAAACTATACACATTATCATTTGTCAAGAACTACACACAATATCATTTGTCAAGAACTACACACAATATCACTTGTCAAGAACTACACGCATTATTATTTGTCAAGAACTATATTCACCATCTGATCAAGAACTAAGTTAGTTGCGTATCCTTTACAGGACGTTGCAGAACCAACCTTAACAGCCCCTGGCTGTTGTGTGGTTTTTCTAGGCAATTTACATCCAGTAGTTTGCCATTGCTTCCTGGATGGTCGGCTTTCTTGATACCACTGTCAAAACTAACGCAAGGCTCATTGCCCGCAGCTGGGATCGAACCCAGCATCCCGGCATTACGAAGCGAAGCATTCGCATCGACTTAGCCACAGAGCCGACTGATCAAGAACTACACTCATTACAATTTTTTAGGAACTAAACACATTATTATTTGTTGAGAACTATACATATTAACATTTGCCAAGAATTACACATATTATCCTTGTCAAGAACTATATGTATTATCACTTGTCGAGTACTACAATTTTATTATTTGTCATGAACTACACACATTATCATTTGTCAAGAACTACATACAATATTATTTGTGAACTACTGCACGTGTTACTACAAAAACTAACCACATTATCATTTGTCAATAACTACACACATTATCATTTATCAAGAACTACGCTCATTATCATTTTTCAAGAACTACATTCACTATCTGGTCAAGAACTACACTCATTAAAATTTATTAAGAACTACACCCATTACTCATTATCATTTGTCAAGAAATACAATCCCTAATTTTCAAGAATTATACTTATTATGATTTGTCGAGATGACTCTTACTATCTTTTCAAGAACTGCCCTCACTAACCACTCAAGCAAAGATAAGTTTCAGCATAGAAGTATGCAGAATTACCCCTGTATAGCAGAAATTCACAAATAATGGAGTGATAAAAATGGTCAACAACAATAAAATCCCTACTGTATTACCTGTACCCAGGCTACAGACAAACACCTTGATTTGTAACATAGGTTAAACCGACATCTCCCAGTTGTTAGAAGGAGACAGCTGACTAGTCATGTGATTTGTAACATAGGTTAAACAACATATCCCAACTGTTACATAGAAACAGCTAACTAGTGATGTGATTTGCAGCATAGGTTAAACAGACACATCTCCTATTTGTTACATGGAGACAGCTGTCTTGTGATGTGATTTGTAACAAATGTTAAACAAACAACTTCCAGTTGTTACATGGAGACAGTAGACTAGTGATGTCATTTGTAACATAGGTTAAATAGACACATCTCTCACTTGTTACACGGAGACAGCTGACTTGTAATGTGATTTGTAACAGGTTAAACAAATGCATCTATCAGCTTTTACATGGAGACAGCTGACTAGTGATGTGATGTCTAACATAGGTTAAACAAACACATCTCACAGTTGTTACAAGGAGACAGCTGACTAGTGATGTGATTTGTAACATAGGTTAAACAACATTTCCCACTTGTTACATGGAAATAACTAAATAGTAATGTGATTTGTAATATAGGCTGAACAGACACATCTCCCATTTGTTACACGGAGACAGCTGACTAGTGATTTTATTTGTAAGACAGGTTAAACAAACATCACCCATTTGTTACACGAGACAGCTGACTAGTGATGTGATTTGTAATACAGGTTAAACAAACATCTTCCAATTTTTATATGGAGATGGCTAACTGGGAATGTCATTTGTTATATAGGTTAAACAAACATCTTTCAGTTGTTACATGGAGACAGCCGAACCTAATGATATGGTTTGTAACACAGTTTAGACAGACACAACTCCAGGCTGTTTGGTTGGGCAATCTGACAGCTGAGAGTTTAAAAAAACAAAACACACTTTACAAATCACACTTTATAGTTGCTAATGTTAGAGCACAACAACTGCTGTTTTGTGCATTTTAAATTCACAGATGACATAACAAATCAGTATAATCTGACATAAAGACACTCCCTAGATGTGGCACAATAGATTTGATAAATGACCAGAAGAATATTCAAACTATTTCTCTACTCAGGAATCACATTTTTTTATACTAAATTATTTAAACTCCACATGTCCCTACTCATTTGTTGCATGACAAATCCTTTTCCTTATCACAGTTTGTATGTTACTTATTTGTGTTAATCTTTCTTGTGCAATTATTTTAATGAGACAGTTGTCTGGAGTAGAAAGAAAATGTGGAGGGGGAGAGAGGGATGGGGAGAACAAAGTGGAAGAGAAAAAGAACAATACTACTGGTTTTAGACGATGGGAAATGAATGAAAAGAATGACTTTAGCTACTCAAGTGATTAGCTATGTAAAACATTGAAAACAAACATGTCTATTCATGCACGTAGACTACTTAATTAACTAAGACAGGTTTCCGAATTTGTGCGGGAAAATAGCCAGTTATTTTCACGAAATCTTTTCTAAAAACTGTATTTCCAAATACTATAAGCAGTTGTACTGGAAACAGCCGCAGACTCGAAAGCCAAGTTAAGAGTTACACTTTCAATCCCTATTCGAGTTTTTCTGCTTCTGAAAAGATACAATAATTAGAAACTTGCAAATTATTTAATTAATTAACTATGTGTCAATCGGATATTACAATTCCAGACAAATTCTTAAAATTTAAGAATAACATCCTTCTATAATCTAGAGTATTTTGATTATCACAAACATTAAAGAGGTGACAGATATGATAAACACAGTACCTGTCCTATATACATAAATCCGTGTCTGACCGACACGTTCCTGGCCGCATCCTCTCCACCTTTGATGTGTACTGCCCAAAGGTCAGTGAAATGTTTGCCCAACACAGCTTCCAGTAGCAGGACCCAGCCTACAAACACAGCTATGACAACGTCATTATATCCATGCATTGTGTTGGTAAGGGTCGAACGGGAGATCGAGATAGGATAATATCTCCTATCCCCGCCAGCGGTCACCGAATCTTCCCAGATAACAATACAGATTCCTCACCGCTGTTTATTAATCCCTGCATGTCTCAACTCATCCATGGTGGTTATCGAGAAATCACGGCTTGAGATTTACCATAACAACGAATTACAATATCCAAAACATCGAGATTTTTCATAATAACAGCACAGCATAAGAAGTCTCTATATATCCTGTCTTCTTTAACCGTACTCCATTGTGAACCACTGCACGACAGTAACATGGACTCTACTATACATGAAACTCAACCCCGCTGCCTCTCGCTCTTCGGTTCGTTCAGCGTTGGTGCTGTTGCAGGCATCTGGCCGATCGATCGCTAGGTACTAAGGAGAGTGGAGTGTTCATAAATGCTACACGCGGGCTGAGTCGACATAACGATTCCTCCTTGTTCAGTTGCCAGTACAACTCTCGTGCATCTTTTTCTCTTTCACCGATAAAATCACTTTCACTGGCATTTCCAAGTTTATTTTTTTCCTCCACGTCCCTTCACGTTTGTTTACATTGATTTATACCCGATGGGTCTACTCTGGTCTAAAGTAAAGGTTTGATTATAATTTACATTATAGCTGTGCTGGAATGTGAGGATGCCTAGTTATTTTCATTGGTTGAACTATGCTCGCCAAGAAGTCGTTGTTTACGTTTTTGAGTGACCGCGGAATGGTTTTACAAGGGCATTGAATACCTCGGGAAGGTATTGTGGAAATCAATAATTATGTGGCTCTCTCTCTCTCTCTCTCTCTCTCTCTCTCTCTCTCTCTCTCTCTCTCTCCCTCCCGTTGAGAGGTGGAGTGTTTGTTTCCGCGTGCACGCTTACTAGACAAACGCTCTGGTTGTGGTGTTAGTCAATAATTCCTTGTTATTGATGTCACTAGAGATTAGATTAAACAACTCGCTAGTTGTTAAAGATAAAAGTCCCGGGAAGTAAACAAGTAAGAAAAATCGGCACAGGCAGCAGAAATATTGTTGTGCTCATGAAAACACTTTGGAAAGTCAGTTAGTAATTTAAATTCTTTGATCTTTATCATCATCGTCATCGTCAATCAGTAGTTCCTTTACAGAACGTCGCTCTCTTCACGGCAGGCTTGAAAGTCTCTCATTCTCTAGCAAATTTTCCAGCCCTGTGTACTTTCAGAGACAATGCATCTTCAATGTCGTGTATCCACCTTTGCGGAGGTCGGCTTCTGTCTCACTTTTCGTATGATGCAAGTTTTCGAAATACCGCCCCTTCAATGTTTTTTTTTTCCATTAAAATAATTGTTTTTGGGTACCTTAATTTAGAACGACCCCAAACAAAAGGAAACCCAAAATCCAGTCCAGTCCACTATTGTAGGTTAGTTTTGTTTTGCTTTCAACTTTCTGTAACCACCGAATGAAGTCATAAGCTGCCCTACCCCTCCCGCCCCCCCAAAAAATCCTGTCAATTACTGCCTTTATATACCACTTTTGCGGTAAAGGCAGGGGATCCTTTAGCCTGGAGATTTAGGGTCGCCTAGCTAGTGCTGCCGCCACGACTGTGCAAGTGAGGATTTTAATTTTTCCCCCGACAGAAAGAAAAAAACTCCCCAGCCTTACCGAGGATTCGAAACCGGATCTGCCGCATGAGAGCCCAACGTTCTAACCGTTCGGTCAGGAGCTCCTCGGTGAAGTCATAACACCCTTAAAATAGTGCCCTGGACGGGGTTTCCCGTTGTTTGGGTCGTCTAAAATTATAGTATGGTATTTTGATTTAGCTGCTTATGCCGCCCGCTGACGGTGTCGCCTGATACGGAAACGTCTGTACCAAATGACGGCACGGCTCTGCCGGACACTGTAATCATCCCACCCCCTTTCCGCTTTTCTTTTCCCTCACTGTTCTCTACAGGCCACCATGAGGCTAACTCGGTGAGAAATGAACACCGACTTACATTACCCCTAACCCTAACACCCCCGCCCCCTCCCCTCATATGGACTTTTCCTGGAACTCCCGGTGAAATTTCGGAATCCCAAAATGAGATGATCTACAATTCAAACAAAAAAAAAAAAAAATCTATCTATCTATCTATCTATCTATCTATCTATCTATCTATCTATCTATCTATCTATCTATCTATCTATCTATCTATCTATCTATCTATCTATCTATCTATCTATCTATCTATCTATCTATCTATCTATCTATCTATCTATCTATCTATCTATCTATCTATCTATCTATCTATCTATCTATCTATCTATCTATCTATCTATCTATCTATCTATCTATCTATCTATCTATCTATCTATCTATCTATCTATCTATCTATCTATCTATCTATCTATCTATCTATCTATCTATCTATCTATCTGTCTATCTATCTGTCTATCTGTCTATCTATCTACCTGTCTGTCTGTCTGTCTGTCTGTCTGTCTGTCTGTCTGTCTGTCTGTCTGTCTGTCGGTCGGTCGGTCGGTCGGTCGGTCGGTCGGTCTGTCCGTCTGTCTGTCTGTCCGTCCGTCTGTCTGTCTGTCTGTCTGTCTGTCTGTCTGTCTGTCTGTCCGTCTGTCTGTCTGTATGTCTGTCTGTCTGTCTGTCTGTCTGTCTGTCTGTCCATCTGTCTATATGTCTTTCTGTTCATTCGTCTCTCTGCCTGCTGGCAAGTCATTCAGTCCGTCTGTTTCTCTGCCTGCATGTAAATTGTCCAGCTACATCTGTTTGTGTGTGTAAGTGTATTTATGTCTGTCCAAACGCCTTTCGTTTCATTTTCCTCTCTGTTTACCAAACTATTCATCTACCCACCTACCTATCTTCCCACCTAATCAGAAGTGAATGTAAGCTTAAAAACTAACCTAACTCCTCAGTCATCTAAACATTTCTTTCCTAACTTCAAGACGATCTTAATGTATCCCACCCACACTAAAGCATGCTTCTCTAACCCGCTCTTCAGAATCCCTATTTCACCAAACTAACAATTTTACAGCTGCACAGCGGGACACAAATGTTGGCAGTAACCTCCTGGGACTTCAGCGTCTGTGAGGGTTCCCAGCGAAGCCTATCCGCAGATGACTGACAGGCCAGATAGGACACACGCGTCTGTATTCACCCTACTGATTTTTGTCTCGTTTGTTTACTAAATCGTCTCTAGGAGCGGACTGCGCGGGAAATAAATGGAGTCTGGAAAGGGAAACTGTATATAGCCACGCAAAGATATGCTCACGTTTCTGTCTACGGTTGCTGTTAACCCCTTGCAGCAGGGTTTGGGACTTTGAAATGCTTTATGTCACGGCTGATATATGTCTTTTTAATTGTGCTGATGTAGCTGTTAATGAGTCAGCGGCGAAGTGTGATGCATTCGCATTTGTAAGCGTTAGGAGTTGACAATTTCACTGAAAAGGATATCATCTGATATTTTCCTCCTCGTCTGTTGAGAGTTTGCGTGCGCAGCTAATATCATAGTACTGGTAACTGGTGACCTTCACAAGTTACAGTGTCTGAATGAGTGACTTAAGCATGCAGCAAGCGTGGATTTTGTCAAGTTCAAGACGTAAGCCGAAAAAGGGGGGGGGGGGAGGGGGTATTTGTATTATATAGTAAACAATCGTACCATGTTGATAAGCACTGGTGGCAATGACTCGAAATACATGCACGATCAGAAGTATCACGGATCAGGTCAGAGCTCTTGTCCCACCCCCTGCCTAATGCCAGACCATCAGGTATTTACCCCTTTGCCTCCCATACCTCCTCTTTCCAACTAATATGCCATTTGTCACCTAGTTTTTTTCCTCATAATATACCTTGTGTAATCAAACAAAGGGGCAAAGACAAATGTCCTGTTTTTTGTTTTCTCCATGTCCCTTCTTTATGCTTATGTTTTACAACAGAGCCACACCAGTGCCGCAAAGATGAGGTTTATAGCTATGGCACATACGCCGTTCTATACCGGCTTCATTAGACAGAATGGGTTGTTTCAATAAATGCATCGAAAATGACTAGTCAAACCGTGATCTTATAGTAAGGTTGTGCAGGTGTGTCAGAACCATGAACATTCAATTGATGTGGTGAACATTCCGCCTATTGAATGCTCTAAGGCTGGTCAGAAGCATTTAATTTAAGGCTAGGCTAGATTAGTGATCAGAAAGGATTATCATCACATCACTCCGGACAGATCGATAGGTGCTTCGATCTCCTCCTCTAAAGCTCCACAAATGCAAAACGACTGAGGACGCCTGTTCTGTGTTGGTTAATGAAGCGTCTTGCCCCCTTGCAGCTCCAGGCTAAACCCGCATGTCCATCAGTCTAGACAGGGATACGGAGTCATGTTCTTTGGCGTGCTCTCGGAAAGGTAAGTGCAGCGTATGGCATTGATAACATCACTTTTGTCTAGTACTGAACCAGCCGTAGCACCCACAGTGTCAGCAAGAGAGTCTTCACACTCGTTCCCTGTATAACCTGACACAAAGATCAAGGCTAGACTAGATGTACATCACAAAGATGATTAGCGTAGGCCGTATTTAGGACTGTGAAATTGAGCTTTTCTCCGGCGTTTCACAGTTTGTCTCGCAGGGTTGCTCCTGTGGAGCCAGGAAGCTTCTCTCAGACTCTACTAGTGTGGGTAATCGTCATGTCCTCTGCTGTTATGCATAGAAACCACATGTGGCTAAGTCAGAAAGACCCATATGGTACCAGCGTGCTCTGAGTTTACCTTGTCTCTTTCATTGTATGAAAATTATGAACTTCGTGTTTCTGCCAAGCCTGCTATACTGTCTCATGTTCTACTGTCTCTTGTTTAACTCTTCTTTTTTCTTCGCGTTTACGGGTTACTTGTCTATTTCTAGAGTCTAGCCCTGTTCCAAAGCCTGAGTGGTTCGTGCACATCCGTTTTACAGATTTGACTCATTTTTATGCAGATTGTTGACTTCTTGACCCTCAGTTAGATGCCCTCCGCCTTCGAAGGAACCACTGACTGTA